AAAAAAAAAAAAAAAAAGATAAGATGGGGACAGGATTGGGGCACAGAAAACAGGTGCCTAAAGAGACGACAGGCCTTATCCTTTTACCTGCGTGTACAGTCCCATGGATGTATAGAGTTACAGAGAGGAAGAATACAGACCCCTCTCCCCTAATTAGGCTATGTAGTTGTCTTTTCCGCTGTTGGAAGTTCCAATAGTTCTACCTTGAAATAGGTAAATCTTTGGAAAAAGTCATTCTAGGTTGTACAAAGGGTCTATGGATACGTCTGTTACAAGTAACAAAGATAATTTGCAAGACCCCCTTTCTTTCCAACATTAAAAAAAAAAAAGTGCGGAGCACAGTGGCTCATAGTTGTAATCCCAGCACTTTGGGAAGCCAAGGCAGGTGGATCACGAGGTCAGGAGTTCAAGACCAGCCTGGCCAACTTAATGAAACCCCATCTCTACTCAAAAAAATTAGCCAGGCTCAGTACCATGTGCCTATAATCCCAGCTATTCAAAAGCTGAGGAAGGAGAATGGCTTGAACCCGGGAGGCGGAGGTTGTGGTGAGCTGAGATCACGCCACTGCATTCCAGCCTGGGTGACTGAGCAAAACTCCGCCTCAAAAAAAAAAAAAAAGAAAAAACAAAAACAAAAAAGTCTATTTGTTTTGGTATGAATTTTTTTTTCAATTTTTTGCAAAGCAGCATAGCAACAATCGTGATTGTAGGACTTGCCTGAGGTTGTGGTCACAACCATGGTAAACATTATTTGCATATCAGTAAGAAAAAGAAAACAGGAGGAGATGAGTTCTCACGAAACAAAGTAGATTCTAGAGACGTCACTGTCTGCCCTTCTTCCACGCACGTTCTCCTTTAGCTTAGCTGACCGAAATCTTGTTTTCTTCCGGTAAGTGAGGAAACTGGTGTTTGGGAATGCCGTCAGTCACAGAGATGTCATTGGTCTTCAGGGCCAGACCGCCGTTGAGCATGCTGGTGTACTGGTTCCACACAACAGGGTCCACGCTCACGGAAGGGGCCAGGATTTCCTCGGGAAACATTTCTGAGACCTTTTCCCTCCGTACCTAACAGAGCCATGGTGCTCTCGATGGCCAGCTTCCTTCCGCGGTGGGCCGAGTTATTGATGGCTCCGTGTGTCATGTAGTGAACCTTCAAGTTGCCTTTGGTGGCAAAAGCTCGCCCACAAATGTTGCACACAAAAGGCTTCTCCCCAGTGTGAGTCCGCTCGTGGGTCTGAAGAGCGCTGGCGGACGAGAAGTTCTTCCCACGCCGTGTGCAGCCACGCTGCGTGGCCTGTCGGCGTGGCCGGGCTGCTGACAAAGGGGCCATCCCTGGGGACAAGGTTGAGGGTCCCACAAACGTGCCAGGAACTTCGACCTTGACCTAGGTCTGCTGGGCTCGGATAAACGTGGAAGGGAGACTGCTCCGACCTTCCATCCCAGTGCGGCTGTTCTCGGAGCTCTCTGCTTTGCGCCCAGCATCGGGAGACTTTGACCTGATGCTTTCGGCTTGACTATTGGCCGGGAAAGTGCCTGGAAGGACGTGTTTCCAGGATGTCTGGGCTCCGGCTCTGATACTCCTGGTCTCCCATCAGTGAGGACGAGTTGTTGGTCAAGCCGTTGCTCTCCACGGAACCGTTTTCTCTGCTGCCCTGGCGCTGCAGGTTAAAAGGGGCAGGGCCCGCTTTCCCTGGGGCATCTAAGGAAGCCATCGTGGCAAACCCTAGTGTGGGTGATGCCAAGTGGATGCTGGGAAGAGGTGTGGGGACCTTCGAGGAGCTGCCGGGAGCCTCCTGGGAGCCAACTTCGTCTACATCGATGCTTTCGACGACATTGTCACTACAGATGGCACCGGTGCTGCCATTCTCACCCACTGTCATTGGCTCGGGACCCGTAAAGTCACAGGGATTCTCCGGCAGGGGCGTGTTGGGAATCTGACCGCCCATGTGCATGCGAATATGCTGCTGCAGCATCACGGCGTTGGTGAACTTCTTCTGGCAGATGAGGCACGAATGCTGCGTCTTAATGGACGTGTTGGTTTGGTGAACCCCAAGGTGTGTCTTCAGGTTTCCTTTGGTAGAAAAGGCTTGGCCACAGATTTTACACTGGAACGGTCTCTCCCCATTGTGGGTGCAGTAATGCATCTTGAGGGAGTTCTGGCAGCTTAGGACATGGTGGCAAATAAGACACTCATTAGGATCGGTAGTGGCCTTGTCAATGTTCTCCACCAGCTGCTGCAGTTTCAGGGTCTCTGACCCTGGCTCAGGGGTCCCACTCCCGTGGAAGCCACCAGCCCTTGGGGAGTGATGGTCTGGTCCCACTGCAGGGAGTGTGGGTCCACCATCACTGTCTGGAGAAGGCCCAGGCTGCAGGTCACTGGGCAAGGGGCCATCCGAGAGGTCCTTGGCATTAGTCCCCAAAGAGAGATTCTGAGGTAGTCCTACAGAGGGGGTTACAAGGACAGGTTTGCTGTCTAAGGAAAGACTCGAATCATCTATGGGGTCAGGTACAGAGAGCACACAGGGGGTGCCGTTGCCTGCTGCCACTTTGTCCTGGAACTTGGCAAACAGCTGGGGGTTTGCCTTCACCTGGGGATGTCGGTGAAAGTTCACCTTAAGGTTGCCCTTGGTGGTGAAGCGATGACCACAGACAGAGCACACAAAGGGTCTCTCTCCAGTGTGGGAGTGGAGGTAGATCTGCAAGGAGCTGTCAGTCCCGAAAACCTTGCTACAGTACTTACACTTGTGCTTGTAGAGGACTGCCTCGTCCTTGGGTTTGACCTTCACTGTGGAGACGTTTGGGGGCTTTCCCTTCCCCTTCTTGGATGTGTCTAGCACCATGGTGGAGAAAGGGCTCTGGAAGAGCACCGAACCCCGGGCCTGAGGAAGCAAAGCACTCAGGAGGCAGGACATGACGTTCAGGAGCACCCGGGTTCCATCCGGCTTCAGAGTGAAGGGTGCCAGCCCTGGGCAGGGAGCTGGTAGCAGTAGGGATGTTGGCGTGAGGTAGCTTGGCTTGTTTCAAGGCATCCAGAGACAGGCCTTGGCTTCCAGCTTTCTGGCTGAGCAGAGCCACAGCTGCAGACACCCGCTGGGACACGTGGCTGCTCAGGGTCTTCAGCGTTTCGGCCCCTGCCCCTCTCGAGTGGAGGGCGTGGGAGGCCCACATGTTCACCTGGATACGGATCTGCTCAGTAAGCTGGATCTGCTGGAGCTGCTGCTGCTGCAAACACAAGATCTGCTCCAGGACCCACAGGATGCTGTTGGCACTGGGCACAGGGGCAGGGAGGGCATCCACACTCTGCTGATTCACTGCCAGCTTGGTGCCCCATAGTGCCTGCAAGGTCACGTTAGTGTTGGCCACTTTGCCTTTGGGTAAATAGCTTATATCCTGGGGTGGGGGGGGTGGCAGGGCTGTCTCTGTCTTTAGGTACATCACAGACTCCACATCTGGCTTCTCCTTCATGTCCCCTGAGCTGCCATCATTCTCCCTGTGACTGTCCTTACTGCTGGGACTGGGGGACTGTTGGCTCAGTACAGCTCCAGAGAAGTTTTCTGAAGGCACCGGGCCCTCACTGTCATTCATGATGAGGACAGGTGTATTTTTTAGTTCAATTTTTCTTATATTCCAGGAACTCAGAGATGCTGAAGAACTCTGTGCAGCATTTCTCGCAGACGTGCGTCTCCTCCCAACAAAGCCGCTTTACTGTGGCTTCATCCTCATTCACCTCATCGTCATTCCCTGGGTGGTTCACTGGAGCACATGGCTCCCCCAACGTGGGTGCTGCTGGGGCCATATCTGCAAACTCTGGGGTTGCCTGCTGTGGCTGCTGCTCGCCCTGGTCCTCCTCGGAGTTGATGTGCTGGGGTTTCGCCTGCTTGCGCCTTGACATGGTGCGAGCATCGGGGCGCCGGGAGAGCTACAGTTATCTGCTCTCTCCGCCACAAATTCCTGGAGTTGGGAAATTTACCCCCCTTCGGCCAGAACGTGCATGTCCCAGTAATTCACTTTACATATTTAAGGAGAACAATTTGGTACATCTTAACATGTATACCCTCATGAAACCATCATGGTCAAGATCATGGCTCTCTCGAAAAACATGGAATGTGAAGTGTTTTAGGAGGGTGCCCAGCACCCTGGCTGCTTCCCCGGCCCTGGGTGGAGTGGGACCTTGGCCACAGGACCAGAGCCAGCAGGAGGGTGTGAGGAGTACAGAACCCAACCCAGGCCGGAGCCACCGTGGGGAGGTGACAACCTGCAGAGCCAAGAAGCCCAGGCAGTCAGCTGTCTCTGGGCTCTCCCGTACTGGGCTTTGCTTTCTGCCAAGACAGTGTCACTCAGGTCTGTGTGGCACCATGATGGCTGCAGCAGACTTTGCATGCTCCCTGGAGTATCTCAACACTTTTGCATGCTCCTTGGATTATCCCACTCCTGCAGAAGGGCCATTTGTTTCCTTGGTGGCAACTGGGTGACACAGTCACCCCAAACCCACCCTGAGCTCAGACCAACATCACAGGCCATCGCCCCAGCCCTCTGTGCAGCCCAAGAAGTGTGGGCCTGCGAGTGGACAGGGGTGTGTCTCCACATTAAGATAGGGCCTCTCCTGGCCTTTGCACTGACCTCCCTCAGAAAAGGACCCACGGGTGAGCCCAAAACCTGCTCCCTGAGATTGACTCACTTGGGAGGGTGGATTTGGTTACTGAGGACTCCATGTCCAGCAGCCAAAGAGGAGCTGAGGGCTGAACTGCAGCCACAGCCTCCTACCCAGCCAGACGGGCTCTTCATGCGCCTTTCACCACATGGCCCTTCCTGCACCAGGCCATGGTCCAGCTCTGGATGGACAGCTGCATCAGAGGCTGCCTGGCAGTGCAGTGATTAGGGTGTCCCCTTCCCCGTTTTATTTCCTAGTCTTCCCCAGCTCCTCAGGAGGTGGCAGAGCAGCCCACCAGCCCAGCCTCTCCCCCCAACAGCCACCAGAGCGTGTGTGCACCAGAGGTGCCTTCCATGTCCCAGGGCCTGCTCAAGCTCTTCCAGAAAAACTCACCCATGGAGGACCTTGGAGCCAAGGGAGTGAGTCCTGAGCACCAGCACTCCAGCCTCCGTCTAGAGCTGAGCCCTCAGGAGGGAGGCTGGAGCCAGTCCCGGCCCTGTGCCTTCCCTCAGGACCCTGGGCTCACCACTGTGCAGTGCCCACCCAGGCTGTGCCCCAGCAGCGTGGGATGGAGCAGGCACTCTCTGGGCGGCTCCACTGCCCTGCTCAGTGGTGCTGTTACCCACGGGCTCTCAGCCTCTGAAGGGAAGGGCCCTCCTGCTGAGGAGCTGGTCTCATGAGCCCTGGAAAGTGTGGCTCAGCACAGACTGGTCTTTCCCAGGAATCGTGAGGGAGGACACTTGCTTGCCAGCACTGTCTGGGGTGTTCATGAGGCTTTCCCGTGGCCTAGGGCTCAGCACTCAGATGTGCTTCAGCCCCCAGTCTCCCTGATGTGCTTTTCCCTCAGGCTAAAGAGAAGATGAAAGAGGAATCATGGCGTATCCACTTCTTTGAGTATGGGTGCCATGTGTGCATGTACCGCACAGCCAAGACAGGGGCACTGGTCCTGAAGGGCATCCCTGAGAGCCTCTGGGGAGAGCTGTGGCTCCTCTTCTCTGGTGAGTGGGATGCACCCCCACTGCCCCACTGCCTCAGCTCAGCCAGTCACAGCCCCCCAAGCTCTCCCCATGTGAGCTTGTCTGGTCCTGAGCCGGCCTGGAGTTGGCCAGGCAGGAGCTCCCAACTCTTTCACACAGCCAGGAGCTGGGCTCTGGGCTGTGGGCAGGGGCCTAACCGGGAGGAGCATGAGGGGCAGAGGCTGGGAGCTGGGCACTCTGCTGGCCGGGTGGTGCCCTCCCACTCACAGTGGGAGGGAAACAGGCCTTTAGAAACCTCCTTTCCTGGGGACAGACTCTGACAGCATTCATACCCATGGCCCCTGGGAGACGCAAGTCAGCCAGTTGAACTTTTGGGTAGAGCAACCTCCCCGGGAGCACGAGGGAAACCTTGCCTTGCAACTTGTGTTTGACCCCAAGTCCTACCTCTCTGTGGGGCACTGGTGTCTCCAAGCTGCCCTGTTACTACTTTCAGAGTACCAGAAAGAGAGAGACAGCTGGAACCCATGTCTCACCAGGGGCCTGGAATGAGATGGAGACTCATCCAAGCTACTACAATGAGCTGCCATGGAGGAGATCGAGCGAGACCTACACTGTTCCATGCCTGAGCACCCTGCCTTCCAGAATGAGTTCGGGATTGCCACCCTCCGGCAGGTGCTGACCGCCTGTGCCTTCTGAAAGCCCACCATCAGCTACTGCCAGGTAAGGGGACTGGCAAGGGCCCAGAGACAGCATCTGCCACCAGAGGTTCACAGGAGCAGGTCGCTGTGGTCCCAGGCCTGTGCCATGACTGTGCCTCATGTCTCGAGGAAGGAGCCCAGCTGCAGAAAAAGATAGAATTTAAAAACAGTATTAATTGCTCATCTCATCCCCATGCCACATAGAAGTTGTCTTCTTTGTACTCTGGTCTGAGTCCCGGCAGCATTTGATTGTTTTCTGTTTGGTAAAATAAGCATACATAACATAAAATGTCCCACCATCACCATTTTTAAGTGTACAGCTCAGTGCTTTAAGCACATTCACACTGTTGTGCAACCATCACTGCCGTTCACCTCCAGACCTCTTTTCATCTTGCAGAACCAAAGTTCTGTGCCCATTAAACATGCCCCAGCCACCATTAGCAACCATTGTTCTGCTTTCCATTGCTATGAATTTGACGACTGTGTCTCATATAAGTGAAATAATATAGTATTTGCCTTTCTGTGTCTGGGTTATTTCATTTAGCGTGATATCTTCAAGGGTCATCCATGTCATATGAATGTGTCAGAATTTCCTTTCTTTCTAAGGCTGAATCGTATGCTATTGTACATATAGACCACATTTTCTTTTTCTTTTTCTTTTTCTTTTGTGATGGAATTTCACTCTTGCTGCCCAGACTGGAGTGCAATCATTCAATTTCGGCTCAGTGCAATCTCTGCCTCCTGGGTTCAGGTGATTCTCCTGCCTCAGTCTCCTGAGTAGCTAGGATTACAGGCATGTGCCACCATACCTGGCTAATGTTTTGTATTTTTAGCAGAGATGGGATTTTGCCATGTTTGCCAGGCTGATCTTGAACTCCTGACCTTAGGTGATCCACTCACCTCACCTCCCAAAGTGCTGGGATTACAGGCATGAGCCACTGCACCTGGCCAGTAGTTCTATTTTAAATTTATTTTCTTTATTTGTTTATTTATTTATTTTGGAGACAGGGTCTTGCTGTGTTGTCCAGGCTGGTCTCAAGCTCCTGGGACCAATGGATCCTCCTTCCTCAGCCTCCCAAGCGGCTGGGACTATAGGCATGTGCCACCACACCTGAATAATTTTTTCTTGAGATGGGGTCTCACTGTCTTGTCCAGGCTGGCCTCAAACCCCTAGGCTCAAGTGATCTTTCTGCCTCAGCTTCTCAAAGTGCTGGGATTATAGGCATGAGCCACCAGCCACCATGTCTGGCCTTTTTTTTTTTTTTTTTTGTGTGTGTGGTTTTTTTTCTTTTTTTTTTGAGACAGCATCTCCTTCTGTTGCCCACACTGGAGCTCAGTGGCATGATCATGGCTCACTGCAGCCTCCACCTACTGGGCTCAATCAATCCTCCCACCTCATCTTCCTGGGTACCTGGGACTACAGGTGCACACCACCACGCCTGGGTACCTGGGACTACAGGTGCACACCACCACGCCTAGCTATTTTTTGTAGAGAAAGGGTCTCACTGTGGGGCCCAGGCTGAGGTTGAACCCCTGAGCTCAAGTGAACCACCCCCCGCAGCCTCCTAGAGTGCTGGGATTACAAGGTGTGAGCTACTGTGCCCTGGCCTTTTTAAAATTTTTTGAGGAACTCCATACTTCTTCCCCAGGAGCTGCACCATTTTATATTCCCACCAGCAATTCACAAGGGTTTTGATTTTTCCACACCCTATCAACACTTGCTATATTCTGTTAATGTTACTGTTACAGTGATGGGCATGAACATATCTAATTGTGCTTTAGGTCGGCATTCCTGGCAGCTTTTGATTTTAAATCTAGGCATGTTTCTGGCCAAGTCAAATAGCTTTCTGTTTGCCTTAAAGGTCTTGTTAGCAGCTATGGCCGTGTGTGGTCCTAGTTCTGCGCCAAGTGAGTGGCCTTGGTGTGGGGCTCTGGCCATGTGGCTCCCCTCCACATCAACTTGGTCATGCGTCCCACCCCCAACACCAGACACTGATCCACAGAAGTGTGATGTGTTCATGTCCACCTTCTCTGGTTTCCCAGTGCCTTCTGACCCAGTTTGAAGAATCTGGCTGACTCTCTGTTAAATCCATTTCCTACAAATTGCCTTTTGACATTTCCCAGAGTTGGGCAGGGGCAGTTTCTCATTACCGGATGCCCAACCCTCCTGAGGAGGCAGACTTGCTTGTAGAAGGAGGCCGTTAATCTTCAGCATGAGAACCTGAAAAATAATAAAAATAGCAATGGCCGTAATCCTACACCTGTAAGCCTAGCACTTTGGGAAGCCAAGGCGCGTGGATCACCTGAGGTCAGGAGTTCAAAACCAGTCTGGCCAACATGGCAAAACCCCGTCTCTACTAAAATTACAAAAAATTAGCTTGGTGTCATGGCAGGCACCTGTAATACCAGCTATTCAGAAGGCTGAGGCAGGAGAATCACTTGAGCCAGGGAGGTGGAGGTTATAGTGAGCCGAGATTGTGCCACTGCACTCCAGCCCCAGTGACAAGAGCAAAAATCCATCTCAAAAACAAATAAATAAATAACAACAACAATAAAAAGGAGATCATATGGACCCTTGCAGGGAGGGGGTAGCTGGGAGGGGTGGGGAGAGACAGTTTTATTTGCTGGCCAGCAGTGCAAGCCTTTCCCAGCTGTCTCTGTGCCCAGCAGGCAATGAACATCGTGACCTTGGTGTTCCTGCTCTATGGCAGCGAGGAGGAGGCCTTCTGGCTCTTGGTGGCCCTGTGCAAGTGCATACCACCCAACTACTACTACATCAGGGTGGTGGGTAAGTGTCCCGGGTGCTGCCTTGCCTGAATCTCCAGGTGCCTGGTGGTTCCATGAAGGTGGCAGCCCTTCCCAGGCCAAGCTCCAGGCTTCACTTGGGTTCCCTAGGAGTTAGAGGGTAGTATTCCACATTCGGTGGTTTATAAAAGTCCCCTCAGATCCTAAATTCCCATCCATCTAACTTTCTGTCAACTTTTTGATGATAGAAAATTTCAAACGTCAAAGCTAGAGAGTATATATCCCCCGTGTAACCTGATGCCCAACTTTACTGAACTCACATCCAGTAAAATCTGTTATTAAATGGAAATGGACTTGCAAGAGTAATTAATAAAGTTCATATTTAAGTGTGTTGCCCTGTCGTTCCCTTGCCGTCTGGTGTTTGGAGTTACCACTGTTGGGGTCCTTCAGAGTTCCATCTGTTCACAGTCATCAGAATGGGACACAGAGCCACTGTTTACCTCTCGTGCCTTAGGGAGAAATCAGTATTTCCCCAAAATAAAAGTCAAGTGTAGTGGAAGAAACAGTTATTTTGCCCAGTGGTTTGGGAGCTTTGAGAGAAGACTTGAAGGGTTTTTCTGTTCTTGTTTTCTCCTGGCACTCCAAGTCCCCTTCAGCCTTCACTGAAGAGCTGGCAGGGATGGTAAGCTCCAGGCAAGGGCCTGCCCAGGCCATGGGTGAGCTCACCATCACCTTGCTTGTCCTGCCCGAAGGAGACCTGGTGGACCAAGGGATCTTCAAAGAGCTCACAAGAGACTTCCTGCCGCAGCTCTCAGAGAAGATGCAGGACCTAGGGGTGATCTCCAACATCTTGCTGTCCTGGTTCCTAACCCTCTTCCTCAGCATCATGAACTTCGAGAGTGCTGTGGTCATTGTCAACTGCTTCTTCTATGAGGGCATCAAGGTGATACTGCAGGTGGCCTTGGCAGTCCTGGACACCAACATGGAGCAGCTGCTGGTCTGCAATCATGAGGGCGAGGCCATGACCATGCTGGGCAGGTGACGTGCTGGGCTCCTTCTCCTTCAGGGGGCTCACAGCAGAGCCTCTCAGCAGCCCTGGGCACTGTCCAGTCAGCATGCAGTGACTGTGCCTACCAAGTGCTAGGCCATGGCTGGACCTGGGGGCACTCTGGGGTCAGGAGCTTGCTCCTTTCTAGTGGGAGATGAAGCAGCATTCAGTGATAGGAGCTGGGAGGAATAAAGCAGACACTGCAGGCAGAGCGTTCTGGCTGAAGAGCTGCCAATCAGATCTGGGGATGGGGATGCTTCCCCTGGGAGCAGAGCCAAGATCCGGTGACCACAATTCCCGTTGGTGGCATAGCTGGACTTTTCCTATATCCACCAGGTGGTCCCCATCCTACCTCCCCAAGCTCAGCTGCATTGCAGCCCCCATGCCCTGGAGGGAGCAGGCCTGCCCTGGGCCCCCTGGAACAGCTGGATGAGCTGATGTCCAGCTTGTTGTGCCAAAGACCCAGCATCATCCCAGCCCCTCCACCCCCTCCTTAGTCCCCACATACCATCCCTTGCAGATTCTGTCTGGGATCCAGCCCCTGGCCCACCATGCCCTTTCCCTGGGATTCCTCTCTCAGGTCTTTGACCCACCTGTATCCCACAGGACTCATCAAACCTGGCCCTGCCCCTCGCCTGGGTCCTCTGTACAAAGGCACTGTCTGAGACCCCAGTCTGGCCTTCAAGCCCCGGCTCCTTCTGGCTGCACTCTGCCCTGCCCAGAGCTCTGTGGAATCCCACCCTCCTACATAGCGTATTTGCCCGGCTTAGAGTGCCCCCACCCCCCAGGAACAGCCTGGAAATGCTGCCACTTGCCTGTGACCAGGTCAGGTGCTGCCTGGGACTCTGTAGATCCAGCAGGGTTGTCACCTCCCTACTGTGGACCATAGTAGCTTTTGACCCATGCTAATGTCAAGACACAGCCTGCGGCCGGAGTCTGTGGCTGGTTTTCCTGTCCCTTCCTACAACAGGCAGATCGGGCCTCCTCCAGAGCAGAGGGTCTGACTGGGGATAGGACCAGGGTCATGGACATGGGAAGTCAGCTACCTCCTCCCACCTGAGTGTCAGGCTCAGCCCAGAGAGCCAGGGAGGCCATGAGCTCTGGTGAGGCTAGGTCAGCTGACACAGGTAGGGCTCTGTCTCCAAGACTGTCCCTGGAGAAGCTGATTCCCTGGGCTGCAGCAGGCCTCCCCACCCTCCCAGACTTTCTCCTGTGACTCAGCCTTTGATCCCTGATTTTTCTTGGCCAAGGTGGGGGGGTCCCACGTCCCCAGGGCCCTGTCAAAGGGAGGAAGTTGTCATCTTTCCAACTGGGTAGGGTCTGGAGTTATAAAGGGTTCCTTCTCAAGGGACATTCTCCTCCCCTCAGAAAACAGCCCAGCATCCTCAGGGTTAGTGCTCAGGCCTCGTGGGGGACACTGCCCGGTAGAGAGTTCCCCAACTTACTGGGGGCCATGCCAGGGCACACCTCTGCCCTCCTGGAGGGTGCCCAGTCCTCAGCATGCTCCTTGTTAGGAGTCTGTGTGAAGATTCGGTCCCTCCGTATCACTCAGCTGTGGGAAGGAGGCTCCCTTTGCCTGGGTGTGGTCTGGACTCTTGTCCTCTGCCCTTTGCAGATACCTGGATAATGTGGTCAATAAGCAGAGTGTCTCTCTTCCTATCCCACACCTTCATGCCTTGCTGACACGAAGAGATGACCCCCTCCAGAGGTGGACATAATTCAGCTTCTGAAAGTGTCCTATGAGGTCAGCAATCAGTGGGGCCAGTTTGGCTGGTCCGCTCCATCTGGCATGTTGGTTGGTTTGGCTACGGGCAGGTGGCAACCCTCTGCACTGCAGTTGGCTTCATCTCACCATCACCTCTGCCTACAGAAATTCAGCAGCCTAAGGGCCGAAGACATTGAGCAGATGTGGTTTAAACAGAGGCTGAAAGTGATCCAGTCCTTGGAGGACACAGCCAAGAGGAATGTGGCATGGGTGTCAGTGGGGCTGGGCAGGGGCTGGTCCTGGGAGCAGTGGTGCCCTCTCCACAGAGCAGGGTGGGTGCAGGGCTCCACCACACCAAGTC